CATTGTGACATTGTGGGGCCTCATGGAATCCTGGAGGCCATGATGACATTTGGAGGCCTCGTGGAATCAAGGGGCTCTGCAGGGCCTCATGGAACCAAGCAGACCCTTCTGACATTGTGAGTCCCCATGGAACCAAGGGTCCATTGTGACACTGCAGCACCAAGGAGACCCCTGTGACACTGCAAGGCCTCATGGAAGCCAGGGACCATTGTGACACTGGAGCCCCATGGAAAGAAGAGGCCAGTGTGACACATCTGGGCCTCATGGAAGCAAGGATCCAATATGACACCACCACTGTGACACTGCAGGGTCCCATGAATCCAAGGGAACAGGGAAGAGGTCTGGTTGGCTTGGCCTGACTGGTCCAACTGCCCTTAGCATGTCGAGGGTCTCTTCTCATGTACCCCTGAAACCCTGGGGCTCTGGGCTTTCCTTCAAATGGAAAAGAACTGTTCTTCTCATTGAAACATCCATGACCAAACCATGATTCCATCTCCAAAATTTCCAGTGTCCAGGGATATTGAGGTGGGTTTATCCTTTGCTCTAAGCCATAAAAACCCCTTCTAACTAACATACCCTTTGCCTCCTTGGTTAGCCAGTAAGACTGGTTCAAAAATTATTTTCTTCCATATCAAAACTTGCTTTCATTTCTATTCCTTCTTCAGATTCTACATTTAAAAATCTTTCTGCTAAGCATACAGATGTGTGGGACTTTCTTGTCAAACTTTCATCCTTCCCAACAGTTGGTGACGAATTTTGCTTTTCCAGAGGCCTCTTTTTTCTTGATCTCTTCAGTTCAGAAATTCAGCGAGAAAAGCTGATTAACATTTGTTCAAAACACCCAAGCAAGACAAGCTCATTGGAATAATTCAAATCTTCAGTTCTTCTGCGGTTAGACAGATGTCAGAAGTGTTTTCAAAGTGAACCTACTATATTGAAAACAATGAATAGAGAATTGTTTTGTCCTGTTTAGTTTTCTTTTCCTGTTTATAGATTGGTATCAGCAGTCCTGACTTAATATTGATCCCCAGCACCTCCTCATGCAGACTGAACACCTATGAAAATCAAGACCCTTCATGGCTGACAATCAATCACACTTTGTCCCTACCCCCACCCCACCATTTCCCTCATCCAGCCCCTGGCACTGAGAGCAGCTGAGGAATGGAGTCACATCCAGGGGTGTCCCCAGGGCTCAGGATTGGGGCCAGGTCAGTGAAATCTCTTTATTGATGATGTGGATGATATCGCCAGCTGGGGCCTATGTACAAATCACAAATGGGAAGGGACTGCTGTGGAACGTGCCTTGAGATGTTTTATTTTTCAGCATCAGTCTCATTACATGGGTATGACAATAGGAAGATGCCAGCAGCCCACATCCCAAGCAGCTGACCAAGAACCTAATGTTATAACTTACTTTATAAGTTTTTTGACCAATCACAGAAAGCAAAAGCACATTGACAGCAGTTCATTCCAACCACTATAAGCACATGTACCTTTGGTTAAAACAATGCTTGCCTATTTTGAATACAATACCTGCTTGTGAGCCTTAAAACACAATGCACAGAGCTCCATTATTAAGCTTCAAACTTCCTAATATCTTGCTAGATAAACTTTTCTGTAGCTTAGGAAGGTATTCTAGACAAGCATTAATACACAGACCATTGTTCTATTTGTTCTTACTTTTCTACTTTTTAAATAATTCTTCTGCTGACCTATCTCATGGCTACTGATTACCTCTAACCACAGTTCTGCTGTCTCTGAGGCCTGCCTTGTGCAGCTTCCCCAAAACCCTCTGATTTTGTGGAGTCCCACACTGAACACAAGTTCAGCTATTTTAAACCAAATGCTCACTGATGTAGATAGTATTAGACATGGCACACTGCAAAATAGAGCTGCTATAGATTTTTTGCTGTTAGCACATGGACACAGGTGTGAGAATTTTGAAGGAATGTGTTTTATGAACCTCCTCTTTCCATTCACAGGAAACTCAAACAACTACAAGACAACATGAAGAAATTGACTCTGAATGATTTGGGCTTGGATGAATGGTTTGAGGAATGGGTAATAACTGGATGATTGAAAGATATCTTAAAGGGAGCTTTGTTATTACTAGTAGTTATTATTATATTGCTTTGTGCTATTCCAGCATAGTGAAATTTGTGACCCGCTTGGCAGAAAATACAGTGAAAAGGATTTGGGTGATGCAAGATGAAGAAGGGGAAATTGTAGCAATGTATCTAAACAACTTGGGCCACACTGTGCACCAGCCATACCACTTTTAGTTATTCTTATCAGAGCCATCTGGAATTAATCAAGGTTACTAAGACATAAACTGTGCTAAATGAAGAATGAAAAGGCTGAGAAACAGAATACCAAGACCACAAGAACTCGATAACAGAAGGCTGTGAACCACCTGGACTGTAACCAATCACAAACTCTGAGAAGTGAGTGCAGGACACATGGACAACGCAGAGGCACCAATGAAGAAGAGTGTGATTGGTGCATGCATTAGGGTTAGAATGTATAAATAGGTGCATAATGTAAACAATAAATGGCTTCTGCTTAATCATACTGGTTAGTAGAATGGGAGTCCTGTTTTCCCACAATGGGTGCCTGGGAAGGAGGGAGGATTCTTTTCCATAAAAAGGAAAGCACTAAGCCAGGAGCAGGAGACAAGTGACCCTTGCAGGCCCAGGGCCTCATTGCCTCCTTGTCCCTGCTCAGCAGCCTGGCAGAGGCCGCCCCATGCTCCTGCCCTTGCCATTGCACATCCCCACATGCCAGTGCCCATCCCGGCAAGAGCCCTGAGCAAGGAGGGAGGGACAGCATCTGCCTGGCCAGGGGCTGGGGCTCAGGCCTGGGCCCTTGGCATTCCTCAAACACATCCACCTTTGCTGAGCACCAGAGACACCTTGGCCTTGTTTGTGCCCAGCTGTCATCACTGCCTCCAGTGTTCTGCTCTAACTGGAACCTGGGGACACATTCTCAGAGAGACTTAATAAACTTTTAGAAACTTTGGAATTTCAATTTAACTTTGAATCCTTGAGAAGTTTTTTGAAAACTCTCTGAGGGACTGGATCTGATGTAAACAACACCAAATCCCTGAGGGGCTCATTAAAGTCATTCTGCTGTGTCTGGGCTGCTGAGCATTAAGGGAACAGCTCTTCCCAGGGTCAGCTCCTGTCCCAGCCCAGCCTGGCTGAGGGCTCTGCCTGCAGGCACTGAGGGGACAGGAGCCAGGCAGAGACAAGCTGAAGGCAATCAGGATTGGGAAGACATTGAGCTGAGACTTCACTTGGGGAAACATCTTCACAGCCCTGTGCATGGTGAGTGTGTGTGTGCAGGGCAATGTCCCCTGTGCTCCTGGAGGGATCTCCTGAAGCCAGCACACCCCACAGCCTGGGGGATGTGTCAGGAGGACTCTCCCAGTTTCTCTCTGGCACAGGAGCAGGAGGAGGAGGAGGATGTGCTGCAGAGCGGGGCTGCCCTGGGCACTGTCAGAGGGACAGGGCAGGACGGCTCCTGCTGCCAGGGATGGCTGCAGGGGCTGAAGCTGGGGCTGCAGCCAGGGCTGCCCAGGGCTGTCCTGCAGAGCAGCTCCTGCAGCCCTCAGGGCTCTTGGCCAGCCCAGGGCATGTGCCACCTGCCAGGGGCAGCTCTCAGCCTGCCTGGCAGCTCCCCATGGACGCTGCAGGGAAGAAGTTGGAGGTGGAAGGAGCCACCCCCATCAGGGCAGATTCCTCCTGCTCTGGAGATGGTGCTGCATGGCCAGGGCTGCTCTCAGCTTTCTCCTAAACGGAAGGGAAAGGGGCTGTCAGCTGTGTCTGTGTCACTGAGACTCCGGCACTGTCACCCTGGGCATCAGCAGATGGGCCTCAGATCACCCTCAGAAAGTGCCTTCTCAGCCTCCTCTCCCTACAGACAGCAGCAGCAGCTCCTTGGCTTGCAGCATCTCTGTTTGTCTGGCCTGCCCTTAAGGCCCTGCTCTCAGGGAGATGTCCCTGGGCAGTGCCCTGTGCTGGGGGGGTGTCTGCAGGGCAGAGCTGAGTCCCCAGGGCTGGGCTGGGCTCTGGCAGCATTGGCAGGGACAAGGCTTGGGTAAAGAAAAACAGCTCCCAATAGGCACAACTCCAGGCAGCAGAGAGCCAGACCAATCCTTTGCTTCCCTCCATGTCCTGCTTCATAGGGAGAGAGAGAAGAGTTGGAGAGATTGATTTTGAAACTGGAGTCTTCAAAAAAAGCCATGTTATTTTAAAGAGCAGTTTTAAATTGGTACATCCTGTACTAGAGCGAGGGGAAATGAGCAAAGGGCGCCTGTGTTGGCCCAGCAGGTCTGAGTGCACTGGGGCACAGGGAGCCCTGTTTTCCATCTGGCCTCCCCAGTGTTCAGCCTGAGAGCAATGTTAAGAACAGGACTTTTGTCCCTTCTGAAAAGCACACAGTTACTTTGTAGCCCAAAGCTACACTGAAAAAAAAAAAAAAGGTAAATGAAATTTCCCCAGAGAAAGAGAAGCAATTTTGAGTGCCTGTGAAAGAAAATAGCATAGGATGTACTCCAGGTACTTTGTCCAAATTGTCAATGTTGTCTTTGAACAGCTCAAAATGTCCAGAATGAAGGAATGTCCAACAGCAGCTCCATCAGGCACTTCCTCCTGCTGCCATTGGCAGACACGCGGCAGCTGCAGCTCCTGCACTTCTGCCTCTTGCTGGGCATCTCCCTGGCTGCCCTCCTGGGCAACGGCCTCATCATCAGCGCCGTAGCCTGCGGCCACCACCTGCACATGCCCATGTTCTTCTTCCTGCTCAACCTGGCCCTCAGCGACCTGGGCTCCATCTGCACCACTGTCCCCAAAGCCATGCACAATTCCCTCTGGGACACCAGAGACATCTCCTATTTCGGATGCACTGCACAGGTGTTTTGCTTTGCCTTTTTCATGTCAGCAGAGTTTTCTCTCCTGACCATCATGTGCTATGACCGCTATGTGTCCATCTGCAAACCCCTGCACTACGGGACCCTCCTGGGCAGCAGAGCTTGTGCCCACATGGCAGCAGCTGCCTGGGCCAGTGCCTTTCTCCACGCTGTGCTGCACACAGCCAATACATTTTCCCTGCCCCTGTGCCACAGCAATGCCCTGGGCCAGTTCTTCTGTGAGGTGCCCCAGATCCTCAAGCTCTCCTGCTCCAAATCCTACCTCAGGGAACTTGGGCTTCTTGTGCTAAGTGCCCTTCTATTTTTTGCTTGTTCTGTGTTCATTGTTTTCTCCTATGTGCAGATCTTCAGGGCTGTGCTGAGGATCCCCTCTGAGCAGGGGCGGCACAAAGCCTTTTCCACCTGCCTCCCTCACCTGGCTGTGCTCTCCCTGTTCATCAGCACTGCCTATTTTGCCTACCTGAAGCCGCCCTCCATCTCCTCCCCATCCCTAGATCTGGCCCTGTCAGTTCTGTACTCGTTGGTGCCTACAGCCCTGAACCCCCTCATCTACAGCCTGAGGAACCAGGAGCTCAAGGATGCCTTGGGAAAACTGGTGACCGCAACTTCAGAACAAATAAATTCTCTTTTCTGCTACAGAGCCTGTAGAATATAACTCTTTTCAATCTCAGCCTTTTTTTCCCTGTTTGTCTATTCTTTGCTATGGTAACTTTTTCTATTTTGTAGTGTTTCTATCAAAATACTGTATTGTTACTCTTAGCTTTTTACATGAATATCTACATTTCTTTTGAAATAAAAATACTTGCAAGTGGTCTGTTCCCTTGGTGTTTAAATAAAAACAAGTGCCTGCCTGACTTGTCTGTCCAAGGCATTTCCTGAGCCCTTCCCTGTCTCTGCACGGGCAGTGCCTGTGAGCGGAGGTGCGGGAAACGATTCCCAGCGCAGCAGCACAGCCAGGGACAATGCCCCCGCCTCTTCCCACATCTGCTCTGCCCAACTCCACCTTGTCCTTGCCAGCCCTGCTGTGGCTGTAAGGCCGGAGCGCTCTGGCAGCTTGGTCACTGTCCTGCTGCGTGTCCCTGCTGTGGCCACAGGCAGGGCCAGGCCATGGGCACTGCTGGGACACAGCTGGGCTCCAGCACAGCAGCTCCAGCAGCAAAGGGCATCTCCTGAGGGCAGGGCAGGGAGGCTTTGCTCCCCTCCAGAGCTGCTGTCAGCAATGTGCCCCAGGAATGCCCTGGCACAGCAAAGCCCAGGGCCTGAGGCAGGGGGGGAGTGTGCAGGGGGGGCTCACAGCAGTGTCCTGGCACAGCCAGAGCTCCTGGCATGGACCTGAGGCTGCAGCAGAGCAGGGCCTGGGCTGTGTCTCTGTTCTGGGACAGCCTGGGAAGGTGCCCCAGGGCAACTGTCCCACACCAGCCCCTGCAACCACCATTGCCAGCACTGGCCTCTCCCCACCTGCAGGAGGTTGTTTGTCCCTGCACGGAGGGACACCAAGTGACCAGGCCAGCAGGACATGTTTGCTCTGTGCTGAGGAGATCGCAGCAGTACATCGTGTGTGTGTGAGGGGAGATGAGCCCCAGTGAGCACAAACACCATCAGCAACACCCGGGGATGGCACAATTCCAGTGGCACAAACAGGACCTTGAGGCCGCTTCACTCTGAGAGTAACGTCCTCTGGGAAAACACCTGAATTCTTTGCTGGGTTGTGGTTAGGACTGCATAGAGAGAAATATCCCAGGCAGAGAGGCTCCAGGGAAAAATGCTCAGGGCAGCCATGGACTGCACAGGGAGACATTGGATAGAGTGAGGGTCTGTGGAGAGAAATCAGAGCTGCCTCCCTTCTGAAACAGCCCAGGGACGTGGACAGGGCTGTAATGTGTTCTGGGAACTGACGTGGAACTGAGGGATGTGGAAAAGGCCTTTGGTGTCAGGGCTGTTGAGAAGGCTGGGCAGCGTCACTGTGGGACCTCTCTCAAAACCCTTGGAAAGGCCAGAGCCATCCCAGACGGTCCTGGGCACTTGGGAAGGGCAGACATGGAACAGTCTGCACACAGGGCAGGGAGGGGAACTGGGAGAGTCACAGCCTGCTCAGGCTCAGCAGGGAAGGGGATGTGGCAAATCCTCCTGCAGCCATTCCAGGCACTGGCAAGACAGGGCAGGGACTGCAGAACCCACGTGGGAGGGAACAGAAGGGGATGTTGTGTGCCCAGACTTCAGCCAGGCCTGGGACAGGGTCTGCTGTGGTCTCCTCAGAGCCAGACTGGAGAGAGCTGGGCTGAAGGAGTGGAACATGAGCTGGGTGGGAATTTGGCTGAACAATGAGGGTCAAATGTCATCCATGGTACAGAGTCCTCTTGGCAGCCACACCCTGGTGACATCCCTCATTGACCAGCCCTTGGCTACCACTGTGGAATATTTCTAGCGTCTCTAAAATGGCATGAAATGTACTTTCAATTCCTTTATGAATGCTGCCAGATTGCAGGGAGTCTGTGACTGAACTCATCTCATTAATGGTGACTGCAAAATGTAACTGGGCAAGGTGACTGAGTTGGGTAAATTTATCTTGCCATCAGGTGCCAAGCAAGCCACAATAAAGGGCAGAAAAAACTTATGCATCAGAAGAAAGTCAGTTCAATAGGGAAAAACCCAAACCCAAACAAAAAATAAAAACCCCAAACCCAATCAAAAAAAACCAAAGCAAGACCCACCCACAACAACACAAAATCCCCACAAACAAACCAACCACAAAAAGAAAAAGCCACAAATAGAAAAAAATCAAATTCACAGGATATCTCCTATCAGCAGAAAATGTTTAACCAACTTCTGGCAGGAGAGGATTCTGTATGTGTAGGTGCTGTTTGGAAAGAAAAATATCTGAAAAAAGAAATTAATCTCCTAATCCCCTCGTCCCCCTCCTCCCCCCCGATTTGATTACTGATCATGGTGTGACACGGAATGGAACATCCCTTGGGTCAGTCCAGCCCAGCTGTCCCATCCCTGTTCCCCAGGAACACTTACCCACCCCAGGCCCATAGGTTAGGGGAGTTGCAGACACCTCGTGCTGGGCGAGCACTGAGACAAGGACAGGAGACCAGAACAAGATTTACTCTTGTCAAGGACAGTAGAACAGAACAGCTCAGCCTTGGAGAAACTGATTGAGGATGCACCTCTGGCAAACAGAAGTCACACACAATACAAGCAGGATGCCAGCACAGCTCTGCAAGGCTAACAAAACAGAAATTATGCAAAATAATAATATTGCTATTACTCAAAAGGAGGAGTCAAGGAAGAGCCACCTAAAAAGGGCACAGGATTTTGAAGACAAAACACAAAGAACCATGAAAGGATTTGTGATAAGGGGTGCAACTATGTCAAATAAACTCAAAGGAAGTGGGGATAGCTCATCAATACAGAATGAATGTGTGTGATAAAAACTCTGATCATTCAATGCCTAATGCACTCCAATGGAGGAAGGATGGCCCAAGTGACCACCATGCTGTAATAAAGAATACCTGCTTTCAAATACTCAAAACTCTGTTGAAAAGTTTTTATCCAGGGGATTTCAGTATCAGTGGTGTCCTTGACTCCATTGTGCCCCACAGCTTCACAATGGCTTCTTGGTTCCATGAGGCCCTGCTGTAGAACAATGGACCCTTGGTTCCATTGGGTTCCGTACTGTCAAAATGGCCTCCTTGGTTCTGCACTGCCACAATGCTCTCCTTGATTCCACAAGGCCGTGGTGTGTCACAACAGCCCCTTGGTTCCATCAACTGCCAGAGTGTCACCCTGGTCTCTTGGATCTGCAGCGTCACAATGGACAATTGGTCACAAGCATCCCTGCTGTGTCACCATGAATAATTGGCTCCATGGAGCCCCACAGTGTCACAATGGCCCCGTGGCTCCACGAGGTTCCACAGCATCACCATGGTCTCCTTGGATCTGCAGTATCTCCATGGACCATTGGTTCCATGTGGCCCTGCTGTGTCACAGTGGTTCCTTGGTTCCATGAAGCCCCACTGCATAACAATGGAATCTTGTCCTTTGAGGTTCTGTACTGTCACAATGGTCTCCGTGGTTCTGGACTCTAACAATGGACCCTTGCTTCCATGAGGTTCCATGATGTCACAATGGTCTCCTTGGTTCCACAAGGTTCCATGATGTCACAATGGTCTCCTTGGTTCCACAGGGCCTTGTTTTGTCACAATAGACCCATGGTTCCATAAGCTTACATTCTGTAACTATGGTCTCCTCAAATCCACATTGGCACAATGGACAATTGGCTCCATGGGCCCTCCTGTGTTACAATAACCCCTCAGTGTCATGAGGTTCTGTGGTGTCTCAATGGTCTGCCTTGTTCAACAAGGCCCTGGAGTGTCACAATGGCTGCTTGGTTCCATGAGCTTCCATAGCATCACCAATGGCCTCCTTGTTTCTGCAGTGTCACAATGGATCCTGGCTCCACGAGGTCCCTAAATGTCAGTGGTCTCCTGGGTTCCATGTGGCCCTGCTGTGTCAACACAGCCCCTTGGTTCCATGAGTTTCTGTACTGTCAGCAACAGTTTCTTTGTTCCAATGAGGCCCTGCTGTGTCACAATGGACCCTGGGTTCCATGAAGTTCTTCAGTGTCACAATGGCCCCCTGGATCCATGAGGTCCCACAGTGTCTCCATGGTATCCTTGGATCCACGCTGCCATAATGGGCCATCGGTGCAGCCGGAATAGCAGCTAATAAAGCCCAGGGTAGGGAAGCAAAAAGGGCCTTTGCATGGAATCCACAGATGTTTAATTCAGTCGTGCGGTGAGATGTTCAGGGTCACAAGGCAGGACTCCTGGGGGGAGTCCAGGTTTCTGTATCTCCAGAGGAAGGGGCTGATCAGTGCCATGGGGGCAGTACAAAGATGGGGGCCAGTGGGGGAAAGGGGAGGGAGTGGCTGAGGGACACAGAACAAGGGGAAGGAGCCAATGGGGTCGCACAGCTTTTGAGGGAAGCTTCTTGTGTCTCTCTAACCCAGGGAATGCCTCTCAGGGTCTCCACAGCTGCAGAGTGTGAAAATGGCCTCTTGGTTCTTTTGGGCTCCCCAGGATCCCAGTGGCCCCTTGGCTGCATGAGGCCCAGCTGTGTCACACTGGCCCCTTGCTTCCATTGGGCCCCACAGTGTCACAATTGTCCCTCCCCTTAGTTCCATGAGGCCCTGCAAAGTCACAATGGACCTCTGGTTCCATGAGTTCTACATTGTTCAATGAGTCCTTAGTTCCATGGGGCCCTGTAGTGTCACAATGGTCCCTTGCTTCCATGGTGCCACACAGTGCCACAATGGCCCTTTGGCCCAACAGGGCCTCATAGTGACACAATGGATGTTGGAGAATGAAGGGAGAATCGACCATAGTTATGCATCGAAACTCAACTTTATTGATCAATCAATCACCTTATATAACAATACTAACGAACTTCATGAATATTCTGTAATCCAACTCCATGATAGGCTAACAGAGAAAACTGTAACCACACCTTTTGTTTTAG